GAACGCAACAGCAACCTAATCATGTATGAAGGTGGCTGCGTAAATGATAATTTTTTGGGTTTGGTACGAAATTGTAACTTACATAACTACAAGTCTACAAGACAGGCTAAAGCATTAGCCGTTCTCTTTTACTATCATCGTATCATCGCAGGTTTTTGGCATTTGCCGGCATTTGAGATCGTTTCCATTGCGGTGTTTTTTTTTTCGAAAATGATAAGTTTTATAGGCATTTTAAGAGGTCTGGCACTCATGTTGCGAGTATTATTAATTGAAGAGCTACCGGCATCAGCACATACCAAAAATCAACATAAGTATTGACATCCAACAAGCTCAAAACTTGCTGTTAACGACGTTGTTAGTTTCAAGTCAACAACATATCTGGACCTGAACTAAATGTCTAGTGGCGATTATATTTGCTTGTACCCTAAGTTGGAAAAAATGATGGTTTGACACTTGAACGTATCAATGATACGAATGTAATTGCTTCTCGATCGCGTTGAGTACCGCACATTTGACAAAGTAAAATGTATAACTTCTCACAAGTGTGCAGCGAGTTGTGTACCCGTTAAACATTGATTCTTAGCTAAAAGTGTAATCTCACACACTAAATTGCACGTATTTTGTCGACGTTCGAAAAATGGTGAAGAGAGCAGTTCTGATCTTTATTATGACTGCAAATGTTTGGTTTATATTTCAAATATGATAGATCTGCAGCATGGGTGCATTGCACTGAGACTGAGAAATCCGCATGTCTTCCTTATCGTGTAATTAACGTTATAAAAATGCATCTGAACATATTTCAGGGTGCAAGTTTTGACTCGTTTCTATCAACAGCTTATTAAATACGATATTATACAGCTAGTTTTCGCTCCCTGCATGCATGAATGATATTCGATCTACTATGCCCTCAACAACTAAAATTCCGTCATTGCAAATTTAAACAAATCTCCATCAAAAATTCAGTCGAACACTGATTTATACGTAGCTATTAGCAGTTCAAGTCAATCCCTGTTAAAAATTCGCATCAGCTTGCTGCTTAGCTTCGTCTGTAGAACAGTTCTCCCAATTGTGATGCTGTCTCTAACTAAAATTTACGGAATCTTTTACACATTTTCCTATCGAAACAATTAGTGAATCGGATAAAGATGATCAATAATCGTCCAAAAAGTGGTTGTCGATATTTTCCATTTACTTTAAAGGTCCAATAAAATTCGGTTCCAATAATGTGAATCAATAAAGGATATAAACGTTTTAATTTTAGGAGCGGTTTATCCTGGAATATTCGTATATCGCACACTCCTTGACTAAAATTTGACTGAATTTGTATTCATGGCAGATGTTGTCGATTGATAGTGCGTGATTATAAGTGTTCATTGGCTGGCACCAACACTTGTTCATGTTGGCTCGTTGCTAGTCTAATTATATCAGTTAAAATATATTGGATCAGACTAGAGTTGAATCTCCAGTCTGACGTACTGGCGAGACAACATATGCAACCTAGAATAATCTTCACATTAATTATGATCGTTCAAGTTCATGAATTAGAATTTAATAGTGATTAATTTCCTCGAGATTTCCCATCTAACAATAAATATTATTTACATATGGAGCTCGCTCGCTGCATTACACGATCGTTTCCAAACATATGTGGAAACCCTGCACCAGATATATAGTCAATGCAACCGCAGCACAGTTCACGCATGTTTGATTAATAATTGGTTATTAAACTCACTTCGCTTCCACAAATAAACCCTCTACCACTGGATGTCACTCTCCGGGAACATAACTGTAAACTTAAATTATACGTAAACTATTAAGTGTAGCAACCTGAGGACGTTTGTACGTAACAGAGAACATTTTAAAGTTGTCGTACGTGGCGGCAACCATCAGTGCAAGTCATTTTGCGCTCACTAGAACGTATCCTTTTTGGGAAGTAGGCGCGTGACAATATTGTTCCGGTTACTCATGTCAGGCGGTAGAGGGTTAAATACTCACAATCGGTACCCGACTGCTGGTCGATTAATTATATAGTGAAGCGACTCGACTGCTAGGTACCAGTTAAGAAATTTGGAAAGTTTTTCACACGTCCTCGAATAAATATGTTCTGGTAGAAAATTCTTCAAATTTCCAAATGAAATTTCCTCAATTGGCTGCTCTCTACTGTTTTAAACTAAGGTATTGTAAACTGTAGCTTTTCATGAGCCTAATTTTGCTAGGCGTTTTGAATAAATTGTAAAATCGGTGTGTTAAAAAAAAGGGTTTACTATAACTCGTTTTCAGATGATTCATTTTATATGCCTATTCGTCTCGCTTTTAATGAAATGTTTTTACCAAAATATGTTTTTGATATTTTAATCCTTATTAGGCTGCATAATTTTACCATGACATTATACAGTAATCTTCATTATCAAACGTGTGTGCGCTATACATGTTCCTCTTCATTATCAAACGTGTGTGCGCTATACATGTTCCTCTTCACTATCAAACGTGTGTGCGCTATACATGTTCCTCTTCACTATCAGACGTGTGTGCGTTACACTTGTTCCTCTTCACTATCCGACGTGTTTTCATTTCAAATGATCACTATTCATCATAATAACATAAAAGCATATATCAGAAGCAATGACGGCAGAACGTTGTAATTACGTGTGATAAATTTTGAACTGCATCTATGATATCAAGAATAATCTAAGGCTTTCAAGCTGTGCAAACACTTGCGACATTGAACTTAATATGATCGGGTCTTGCCACTACTGACAGAGAATTTACTAACGTGTGGAGTTTCCATTCTTCCATGCAGTCAATATGTATATTTTTAAAATACTTGGTTTTAACGTTTCTAACCAAAACGGTTTTGCTAAGTTGATGTTTTCACCTCAATGGGGTTTCCACTTGCAGGAAAATTTTTGAATTAATGTTGGTATAATTCTTTATTACGTTGTCCTTAAACTTTTCCGCTTTGTTCCAGATAGTTTCATTCCGTTTCAAGGAGATCTCGCCGAAGTTCATCAGAATATGAGGCATCGAATTCGCTAGGCTCGCTTTTCTTATGATAAACTAACAATCGTATTTACTTTGTGTTTGTGATCACTCCTTATCTCTTGGCTATAGATTTTCCTCTCTCAGACAACATAATTTTCGTTTACAATTTACCACATTTACCACAATGCGCGATTTACCTCGCGATTTACGCTTTTTACCTCGCGGTCTACACGATTTACCTCGCGGTCTACACGATTTACCTTACGGTCTGCGCTAGTTCGATTTACCTCGCGATTTACGCTTTTTACCTCGCGGTCTACACGATTTACCTCGCGGTCTACACGATTTACCTTACGGTCTGCGCTAGTTACCTCGCGATCTTCACGATTTAACTCGCGATCTTCACGATTAACCTCGCGGTCTGCACGATATCCTTCGCGGTCTGCGCTAGTTACTTCGCGGTTTACACGATTCACTTCGCGATTTTCACGATTTATGTCACGATCTAATTTTTTGGTCTCCTGAAGATTGATTCGCGCGATTTAAATCAAATTAATTTTCAGCCTAGCATTCGAGAAATCATTTTGAATTTGTTTTATGGATTTTTTAAAGCGAAATATTCCAGAAAAGTAATGGTTAAAAATAATCGTAGTAAATTGTATGAAAACCTATGCTTCCATTTGTATCAGCACCTTTTTCGCGTATAGTATTCATTATAGGAGGATCTGAATTTTAATGAATAAAATTAACAGTTCGGTCATATATGTCCTAGTATTGATGAATTCCAGCGAGAATTCATGTGCAATGAATAGGGAAATGAATACGCATTAATTATTCCATGATTTATTTATTGGTATAATCTACACGAAATTATATATACAAAAGACTTGGAACAGCGAAACACGAAGACTTTCTTATACACAAACACTCGATATAACACCCAACATTAAATCTATTGCTACATTTCAACTGTACTCAAGTTTATTTAATGTACAAAGACTGTACTGTACACATGACACAACTTTTCTAAACATGAAGATATTTATTTCTCATTATAAAATTTTGGCTAGATTTATAATACAGTTAATTCGAGGTATAGATTCACTTGTGAGGTCAACATCCATTATACAAAGTTCCCGAGAATTTCTTCTTGATATGCTCTATTATCAAATTTATTCGGTAAATGAAGGATCAATATGATTCTAAAACTATATATGTACATACATATACTCTGATGGATACACGCTGTCGGTATACACGAATACATAACTACACATATGCAGTGTGGCCATCGAAACAGTTCAGGTTTAAAATTTTTCAAGTTCTCAGCCCATTAACAAATTTCAGGCAAAAAAAATTAGTGAAAATGAAAAACTTAGATTTTGTTTCAGTATTAATTAAAATTGAATCAGGTTGCATTATTAAAATAACGGAAATCAATTACATTATTCAGTTACAATTTTAATCAAGCAATTATTCAAAACGTATAAAGTGGCTCATCGATTACTTTCGGATGGTTTATTTAATGTCTTTTACATCTTATATATTTCAGTCACAGGACATTTTTCTTTCGAAGCTTTAAATTTGTTTATTAGGAAAAGTTATAGATGAAACAATGTTGAAAATAACTTGACATAACTGCATACACGATAAAAAAATGCACTTAACTCATGGCATCGAATTTTATAATGCCAACATTCAAGAAAATATATTGCGATCAGGAATTCATGAACAAGAATCATAGGCTAAATAATGTACATACACACAAAATATTATATTGAAATATGTTAATTAAACATAATTACAAGTGAATCAAGATACGGATGAACATTATTTTCAAACATTATAACATTACAAACACAAATTACATATTAAAAACTCTATAATTTATTCCTCCTACAAATCATGTACATGAAACGACAAATAATCAAAATTTTCCTTTTAGTTCAGGCTTACACGAGTGAAACTGGTGCAACAAATTTCAAAATTGACACAAAAATTTTGCATAGAAAAAATTGATGGGAAGATTTTACATAGAAATAATTTGTTGAACATAATTTTACATTAATGATCAATGTAGCATAATTCAAGATGACCAATCATAATCTCGTGTAAAGTGTTCTTGGTTGTTATTTTTATTGGAAGAAGCCGTTAGGCCTGGAAGCTGGTTGAATTCAACCGCTTTTTCAAGCACCCTTATAATTGGTTCTCGATTATTCATGAAAATTAATTTTTAAGTTTGTAAAAGTAATATTTATAACTAAATCAGATCTGTTATCCAGCAAAAATCACTTCGCGCACCTTACACAAAGTATCTAATATAATTGGTGTTATTTACATTGATACGTTACACATTACCATATTTTACAATACAAAAATCAAACAATCATTGAACCTCATGATATCTATCTATAATTTTTATTTCCTGAGTCTATAATATTGACTGAAAACATTAGTACATGTACAAACGCACCACACACCGCTTAAATAAAGACTAAAATATTTAACAAAAAGTGCAGTGGAAATCTTATAGTGGAAAATCATAATTAACCGTATCAACTCTAGAACTAAAGCCTATATACATTGACAATGAATAATTGATAATGTTCAATCACGGAAAGATTTTTAATATTTTAGGATGATTTCAAGATTTGTTCTTTGCGGAGATTATTGCTAATAGAGATGCAGCTAGAAGTTCATATTTTGAAATAGCTTCAGGTTTTGCCGGTAATCTGGAATGGAGCACTTGTTGATGCAAATTAGAACTAAACTATCATTTATATGACTAGGAGTATACACCATAATAACAATATCTCTATTATTATGTTGAATTCTTAAACGATAATGGTATTCAAATTCACCAGGGCGGAAACTACGGTCTTGGTAACTTGATCTCTTTGAAAGGCCATTTCAGAAAGAGAGAAATTGCGAGTCTGACGAGTTCGCTTGGTTCCAACGATAAATGTCGAGAAGAAACCGTAAATTTGATTATTCGAGAAGATTTAACGAAATATACGCACTTATTGATGCACAAAACATAACTGAAGACAAAATCTTTGAAAATAAAATTTTCGTTGGTAAACCTGCTTGACAAAATATCTTTGCCAGTCACAACATAAATGCCATCTGGCCGAAAGAATTTCACGTCAAAACGTTGTGGAAAAACTTAACGAAATCGAGAATACATATGAGGTAATAAATGAGGATGACTGAAAAAATTCGAAAAGCTGTACAAAGGGATGTCTGCAAATAATATCGACCGCAAAGTTACAAGTTACAGGAAATTTGGAATGACTTTGCACTTATTTAAGACGGACGCGAAACAGACGGACCCGAAAATCGACTAAGAAATGGACTCGGAAATCATTGCCTGCGCATGAGCGGTTCAAGGAGCATCGAAGAAACTGACACAAATAGTCCCGAATTTTCTTAAAATTAATGACTAGAACATTCACGCCTTGTAACGGTGTCGACTAGAACCGTTCACTTCACTATAAACTAGCCTTAATCTATTTTAATCTAGGGTTAAATATATTTCCTCTAGAAAATCAGCGAATAAATAATCTTGTTGACTTAAAAAATATTTATAAATAAATCTAGAAGAATAATTTTTCTAATAGTTATCAGGTACGAAGAAGAATCCTAGCAATTGACCTAATCAGACAATTAGAATAAATATAATTATGATTATGATTATGATTATATAATTGATTGCAGCGCTCCACTATTCTAATAACTATAATGGTAAAATATATTCAAGACATAGTTATTCTACAAGCCTCTCTCCGAAAACACCAATAAACTATGATCTATAATACCTATAACATAAAATTACTAAGTAATGAAAAAACTAGCTGAAATGATGAAATAAGTATATGATAACTAGATAAAGAAATCATTAGATGATATTCTTGCCTGGTTTTTACAAGAGACCCATTATTGCTTTACTAAATGATTGGATGACTTAAGTAATGGTAGGAATGATCAGACGCAATACGTGATTAGATGATACGCACGACTAGATGCACCATGACTAGATGGTACATGTGACTAGATATACACATGACTAGATGTGAATAGGACTAGATGTACTCAAGACTAGATGTACGCATGACTAGAATTGATGTACACATGACTAGATGCACACAGGACTAGATGTACTCAAGACTAGATGTACTCAAGACTAGATGTACTCAAGACTAGATGTACACATGACTAGATGTATACGTGACTAGATGTACACATGACTAGATGTACACGTGACTAGATGTACAAATGACTAGATGTACGCATGACTAGATGTGATGTACACATGACTAGATGTAATAATGACTAGATGTACACATGACTAGATGTAATCATGACTAGATGAATTCGAGACTAGATTTACTCAAGACTAGATATACTCAAGGCCAGATGTACATATGACTAGATGTACTCATGACTAGATAGATGGACATATGACTATCTAGTACACATGACTAGATGGACACATGACTAGATGTACACATGACTAGATGTACATATGACTAGATGGACACATGACTAGATGTACACATGACTAGATGTACACATGACTAGAAGTACACATGATTAGATGTACACATGATTAAATGTACACATGACTAGATGCACACATGACTAGATGCACACAAGACTAGATGAACACGTGACTACATGTACACATGACTAGATGTACTCATGACTAGACGTACTCATGACTAGATATACCCATGACTAGACGTACTCATGACTAGATGTACTCATGACTAGATGTACATATGACTAGATGTACTCATGACTAGATGTACATATGACTAGATGTACAAATGACTAGATGTACAAATGACTAAATGTGCACGGGACTAGAAGTACACATGACTAGATGCACTCATGACTAGATGCACACACGACTCAATGCACACTCGACTAGAAGCACACGCGACTGGATGTACACATGACTAGATGTACACATGCTGAGATGTGCATATGACTAGATTGGCGTATGACTAGATGCACTCATGAATATATGTACAAAGGTTTAGGAATAGACATGACTATATGCACTAATGACTAGATATACATCTACCTAGATTTTACACGGGACTAGATGTTACGCATAACTATATGCTCACAAGACTAGATGGTACACTTGTCTAGATAGCATCCATTTCTAGACGACTGTCACGCCTACAGATGCTAAACAAGACAAATAAAATTTACAAACTAATCTTACCTAAACGATAAATAAAATACAGGAAATATACAGGAAAAAAACTTTAGATTGACATCATAAAATATGAGTGAATACGAAATATCTAACCGGGATTCATCGATTATATATAATTATGTAATTTTCATTAACATGTCTACTAATTTTTGCTACCGGAGGATTTAGAACAATAATTAAAAATTTATAATATAAAAAATCAAGCAGGAAATTACTCAGTTCTGAAATATACTGTAGAATAAATCGTCAGAATATGGAATTACTAACTAAGACTATTCCTGAGTGCGCCTATCTTAACAATAATGCACTTAATAATGAACATTATAACTTAGAAGAAATTACTTTCTTTAATAATCTAATGAAAGAGCTTCCCCTATAATTTATTTAGTATATAAATAATCATATGTTTTTTAATGTTGATTGGGTCTTCTTACCCTTTTTCTACGCATGCCTACGGCATCTTAATTAATCCAATCAGATTGCCAATGCTCCCCTTTTGGAACGAATCAATTCTATCCAACCGTTATTTTAAATACAATATAAACTAATAGTTCCTTGTTTTAGGTGTCGCCCTTACAATTATTCTACGTGCATATTTATACAAACATACATGTGTTTTCTCCAACCATATTTTTGTTAATTTTTCACATTTTCTAACTAAATCTAAGCCTTAAAAATACGTTATTATTTATCGTATACCGAATGTATATTCATAATGCTATTTCTACCTAAACTGTTCATTTTTCTTTCAATTAAATCAAACAATAAATACTAAGTCGTTATCCAAACCATGCCGTTACAAAATCGTTACATCTGAGAATCAAATCTACTACATCCTAGGATGGATTTTTTCTTTTAATTTTAACGTTCCGAGTTCGATTACAGAAGTGAAATTATTGGAAATTAGGGCCAAAGGTTGAAAATTTAACAATTTATTCAACTTTTCAATATCGAAATAATTTTGCCTCCATGCTGAATGATCATGTATCTTTAAACTATTATTAATTAAAATTGAATAGAAACCTAGTTAGTTGAGTCAATATGCTTACTTCTTTTAACCTTTTTTCTGTTTGGCATGAAAAATTTATTTATGCCTCTTAATAATAATTTTTCAGTTACATTTTCTCTTTCGCAGTCATTAATAATTAGGCTTCCTCAGGACAGACTTTTGAATTAACAATGAATTTAAAATTCCGAGACTTATAAAAAGTTTACATTAAGGCAAACTTCGTAAAATGTATTATGGCACCTGACAGAATCACGGCATGCAAGAGACTCTCCGATTTCACTTCACCTCCACACTGGACGAATTCTTTCACTTATTACAATGGTATACGTACCTTTGAAATGGTAAACTTATTCGTCAGTGAAGGGCTAGAGTTTTTGAGTTCAATTAAGGGCTTTCAGATTAAACATCGAGACTCTGAATTATTGATTCAAATGGAAGCATGACACGCGTTGGTCATTCATTTTAGACGAAATTTCTTTACAACATGAAATAAGCAGGTTTAAATGTCATGTGCTATTTTCCGCTTAAATCGATTTTAGGTTACTTGAAATATTTAATAAGGTTTCCATCTTTTACGTTGAATGCATTAAATAATCATTATGAAGTTCAGTTTCGATAGTTCAAGTGACAGCCAAAAATATGAACTTATTTACATGGAGGAGCCGGTGCAGTGCTGCCGATAATAGTAATTCTAGCTAATTAATTAAATTTGAAACAAACTACGAAATGAAATCTTGAAAAAAATATATCTATGAGTGCCAGATAACGGAACGAAAAAATTTTCCCCATTTCAGTAAATGAGAGAAGGGAATTGAACAGCGGAGTGCTGCAACATGAGACGTGTGATGCGCACGAGAAATTGAAATACGCAATTCGCAATCTTGAAATCGTAATTTGCACAAAAAATTAATTATTTCTGTTATTTAACTAATAGTATATGGATACAGATCTCTCAATTTTCTAGCTGTGAGATTTATTACAATAAAAAGAACGAGGTTCAGAAATACTGAAACGAAGTGCGAAATCAAGTTTCGAAGTTCTGTATGAAGTGCGAAACTAATGTACGAAGAGCATGGAAATGCGTAAAGTTTCTTACGAAGTACAAAACTCAATAACTGATCATCAACACTAGCTTATTAATTTTTAAACCTTTTATTCAAGTAATATTCAATCTCGTTAGTGATTTAACTTACGATAAGCCGACAAGAATATCAATCGGTAGGTTGCATTCTGACAAGGGCATGAAAGACTTGCCAATAAAATTATTTACAAGTATTAAAGTACACTCTAATTATAAGGAATATTCCTAAAATGACTAATATTACGGATAAAATTACTTTATCCACAATCTAGAATATAAAACCTACTCAAGTAATGATAAATCAGATGTGTGGTGCGTTCGTGACAGTATATTCCATTAGTAACAGTAAAATACATTATTCACAACTATAGACAGTAATTAATATTTTAACCGATTAAGGTAATGGAATGCTTCCAGTACGGCGTTTGAAAATATTTTTTCTAGGTACGGCAATAGAAACTTGCATCAAGTCTGTGAAGGATTTTTTTGAGTGTTTACACTCAAAATCTTTTTTTTGTATTGAGCTTGCGGTAAGAATGAGAGCATCGGCATCGTGTGTGTAAACCAATTAACTGTTAAGAATTGCATCGACTGAACCACGAAAACAATGAAACTTTTTCTGGTTCAATCTAATATGAGGAACATTGCATGTACGTATTGCATATGTTTTTATTGGAATTATTGCACCAATCTGGATTGCACTCTCGAAGAATTGCACATGTCCCTGCACTCCCGCAGAGATTGCACCAGCTCCCAGCTTCGCGGTCTCCAACCGTGGTAGTCACTTATACTGAGATCCCCTGATAACATTTTGGATTTGCAGAAATTAAAATTAAAACGTGTTTTTTGGTTTAAAGGGAAATGCCGAAAAATACGATTTTGTTTTACTACATTGAAGTTTTAAAGTCGTTTCGTGAATCAATATTCCATAAGGCTAAAGCACTTCTGTGACCTTGAGCGAGCCGAACTGGACAAAAAAATTTTCTTAACTACGAAAATTTACGCTCAATGGAGAAAATTCCAAGAGAGACTAGGCCATAGCATTAATTGAATTTAGTTCTCAATGTTTGGCTATTAGAGTTATTAAGAATTTTCAAAATGATGAAAGTTTGAATTCAAAAGAAGTATCATGCAAAGCGGGAATGAAAGTGAATGAAAGAATTGAAAGGAAACATGCAGTGTAGATCTCGTCTGTGAACCAACGGTGGAGGTCCAATAGATTAATTATGAGAGAATAGATGTAGAGTTTATTTAAGGATTAGATCTGTGATTGCACTCTACCCTTTATCGTCGTCATTCATGTCCACTCCATTCGAACTATTAATGAAACTCGAGCCTGGATTGTTGATTGATATCGACAATAAATGGTGAAATTATGCATTTAAGTGCTGTGTTGGCCAATTGTTTTCTTCCTTACTGCAAGCAAGAATTTTCATTTGTAATTTTTTTTATGTTTTTTATGTCCATCATTATGCTTTGTTTTTCTTGCTTTGTTTCGAACAAATTTAAGACATTGATGCAAGTTCCAAGCCACCCGTAGTTTTTTTCGTGTTTGATCTTGGACTGATGTAGCCCACTTCATTCACCTTGAATGCTCCTCGCTCTCAACGTGAATGAATGAAGAGAAACGATTCCCGTATTTCAGGAACAGCAATTAACTTTTTTTTTACATTTTCTCTATTTGCTGGCGATGAAATCGAACGGTTACAATTTTCAATTTTTGCTCAGCCAAAAATACGCGTAACTTATAATATACAATTTACAAAAGTATATTGTTCCGAACACTTAAAACTAAGAAAGACAATGAAGTAATATTTTCTAATGACTAGGACAATAATTCGGGCATGAGGAGACTGGATGAAATACTGAAATGCCAACCTGTCTGTAAGGCAGACATCTGTTATTATAACTTAAATACATTAAAAACTGAACAATACACCTTGATTCATGAATTCCTGATCGCAATATATTAAAATGAATAAATGACATTTATAAATATTCGAATACCTTATTTTGGCAAGCCAATAGTTGCAGCAGGACTGAAGTCATTTGAGTGTGTATCAGCAAGATGTTCTCAGAACATCACTCCAATAGTCATACTGTTCGTAGACGCTCTTGATGACTTCTTGTGAAGACTGAAGTCCCGTAGAGATCATGATGCGGAGGTCTTTTGAAGACCTCTATGGTATGAAGAATAATCTTGGAAGACCAGATTCATATGATGATGGAAATAAGTCTGAGATCGGAAGTTTAGGTGTGCTGAGTGGATCCAAACGAATTGCAAGCTTCGTTGCGCGGAAATAGTGTTTTGGCCGAACATTGGCTTCTATAATCCACTTTGAAATATTCATTGGCATATGACAATCATAACCATAAGTATTTAATATATTATGACGAACTATTTACAGAGTTTTTGTAATACGGCTGTAATACTTTTGATTTGTTGGTTCTTGATGAACGATAAAATATTTCATGAACTAGCCGAAATTTGAGATGGTCTGTGCAGAAACTGAGCTGAAAAATGAAGAGGTTGACCGCTTGAATATTGAGGTCTTGGGACAGCCATGGAAGAGCCGCCGAAATTAGAAGAAGAAGCTAGATTACTAAGAGCAATTTCAACGAAGCCATTTCCTGCTGTAAATCCGGGGTGCGATCGAGGATCTCTTTGGTGTGCAGTGGCAAAATGAATTGCAAGCGACGTCGGTGAGAAGAAATTTGACTGGCAAATGTGGCATTTAAAAACTTCTGTAGGTGAAAATGGAGGGGACAACATCGGTGGAGACAAAGGGGAAAGCATATGGCCAGCTGGAATACGATTTTGGACTGTTGGCACTAGAGAGCCGCTATGAGATTGGTTAACTGTGTCGGAGATAGTGTGTGTAAATGGAAGCTTTTGGGGGATAGGCTGTACAATTGTACCTGAAGATTCTTCAGGCTCTCGTCGGTGCGTTAACAAGTGCTTCCGGAGGTAGGCTTGCCGTTTAAACGATTTAAAGCAAATAGTACAATCGAATATTTCGCTTTCCTTTCCATCGGAGACATCGTCTTCGGAAGGAAACTCATCTTCGTACGCTGCTTTCGAAGTAGATGGCTTAGGTTCGTCATCGGAATTTTTACTCGACACAAACCCGGTATTAGGTTTATTTAACTCATCGGATGACTTGGGTGTTCCAGGAGCACTACCTTTCGGTTTGTGCCACCTCCTGTGTGATGCCAGGTTTGCAGGACAATTAAAAACCTTATCGCACTCAGGACATCGATATTCGACATGAATGATCCTCGAACATCGATGTTGCGCCAAGCCAAAAGCATCATCGTAAAGCTCTTTACATAACCTACAGACATAGTCCCCGATTTTATTTTCTATCTTGGCAATTTCAGCTTTGGCTTCTTCTGTGACTTCGACAACATTATAAGCTGGGTCGATATCTCCCTTCCGGACCACGAGGGGTGCTTCACCCTCCCCCAACTCCCTGATGATGGTCCCTGATACCGGAGACGACTTGTCTTCATCAAAGTTGAGGCGCCTCGAGGCCTTTGTTTTCTTCGGGGACTTGGATTTTTTATCAGGTGAGAACGACGCTGCAGGTAATTTTCGTTTCAATGATAATCCAGAAGTACTCGGGGACTTTGTATCTGATTTCGATGGAGTACCCAAGTGTGGGGATAAATTACAATTGGATGCTTGGCCGCTGAAATTACCAAATGGAGACGATGAACTACTCATGGCAACACTAAGGTCATAAGCTGCTCGAGCGGCTGGTGACGTAAGAGGTGAAGTTAATTGGCCATTGAGCTGCTGTCTTTGCTGACCAACGAGAGAATTTGCTATTGAATCCGATAAATGTGAGCCTAGAGGAGACACGAGAGAATTGTTTGTAGTCGCGAACATATTACCTGCACGAGTGTCGCCGCTGACAGGTGGCGGCAGGGCCTTATAAAGAGGGTGGTCGATGACAGCCGTGCTGCTGAATGGACGGTTAATCGGCTTAGCGAGCTGATTACCAAGAGGAGTGGAGCCGTGGGGCCAGTACAGGGTTGGTGGGAACAGGTGATATGGACTTGTTTCAGGGACCGAGACCAAATGTGACGATGATTTTGACGATTCCCATATAACTCCTTCTCGTCCGTCTCGGTTTTTATTTTCTTCAAAAGGCATTTCAGCTCTCTTCCTATCGGATGATAGATCGTTGTCGCTCTCCCGCGCTGCTTCTTCATCTTCTTCTTCATCATTATCGGAGTCTTGTTTGCTTCCATCATGGACTGAATTTTGGCACTTGTTATCATAGTCACTTGCTTCAACCCTGAAATAATTATTATTAATCAAGTCTTTCTTCACGACTAAAGCAAGAGGTGCTATCTGCTCATGATCCAACGTTCCCCGCAACGGACCGAGTTTTTGATCCTGGAATTCTGGCCGTAGACACAACTGCTGTCGGCTAAGGATTTCCCTTTGAATGGCATCGCGGTAAAATGCTTCTCTCTGCAGTGCATGGTTAGCAAGGGCTTGCTGGTAGAGACCCGGCAACAAATGATGGTACTGCAAATTGTTCGTTCCATCTGACGGACTACTAAATCCTGAGTCTGGACTGCCGACAAAAAATTCTCGATCTACGACGCCGCTATTAAGATTCGTTCCTGATTGACATTTGCTAAGAACTCGAGTTTTGTTACCTGCAGTGGCTTTGTTGTTGATGTCAGGCAGTTTCAGGGCTCCAGGAAGCTGCGAGTCAATTTCCGTGTACCCTAAATCTGCCTCGGGCTCCACGCTTCTCTTGCCGCGGCTGCTGAAATCAACAGGTTCTTCCTGAGCCTTCTTCGTGGTGTCGCTCCAAGGTCGGTAGAGCAACAAGTCGACACTTGACATCGCGTTACACTCGCATCACTTTCTCTTTTTATTAGGGTTCTCATTACGATCAGTTTCGGAATTTCGAACTTCGTTTTCCATTTCAACGAGATTGAAGTTAGTCTGAATAAATACGAGGGTTTCAGTTTTGAAAAAAGTCAAGTCGTTTTTAACCACAATCAATGTTCCATTTTCACTACAAAGTTTCAGATTTTACGTCAGGAACTCAACCAAAATGTTCCGTTATTCAGACATCAGTTGATAAACGAACAAAGATGCGCAATGTTCACAGACAAGTATCACTGGAATCAGACTGCCTTGTGTCGCAGAGGAACAAGGCGCTGAGCTACCTGCCGTGACCGCAGCTGGTAGCTGACTGACGCTCGGGCTGATCCAAGCCTCGGGCTGCGGTCGTCTGGCTGCTGGAAGCCCAAACAAGCCTGGCTCAAATAGAGGCACCTGGAAGTCCGCGTTCCCACACGGCCGCCTCATTGGACGCGTGCCGACATGGCTCCTCCCTCTGCCAGGTGTGAGGGCACGTGTCGTATTCTTGTTCATGTTGTTGATGTTGGTTTGTGCTACCCTCCCGCCCTCGGCTGGGGGGTGGTGAGGGAGAGACTGCCGTGAGCGCAGCTTCCCCAGCAACAATATCAGCAACCATGACTCTGCATCTCATGAATGACGTTTTTATTTTATATTCAACCGCGTGATGAAACCAACACGTCTAAACTCCACACATGGAGTATTTTATCGGTAAATATTATTCGCCAACAAACATTTCTCCTGGTAGAGAAGGATCGAAATTTGAATGAAGTCTGAACAAATTTCAAGGAACTCGTCTAATCGCTTGCAATAAAATTTCAAATTGGATTGGAAATCATTGCTCTGGAAAATATTGTATAGTTAGTTTGCATACGTTAAGAATAGACTTTCCTTACTCTCGCATCTTGCTACATGTTATTGAAAACGCATCTTCAATTACGCTGCGAACGCAAATAATATAATACCATAATAATGAGCACAATCATTCTTTAATAAAAAATGAATACATTTCCTGCCAATCCTAAACGTTAAATGCATATTTTAATGATTAAGTAAGGCTGGTTTTCGATGGTTTTTATCTACAGCATTAAGAATTTTCCATAACACGATTTATCCCTTTAATATGTAGGAATTTGTAAATAGCAACTTCATTTTCCTTTAGCGTATATCTGTAACAAGCATTGAAAATTATTATACCGAAAAGCATTACGTTTTCAATTCACATTTTGGACGATTCTTTGCAGCCAACCCGTGCAGGCAGAGATCCTAAATCTCGTGGAACTTACGTTCCGTTTCCTACGTTCCACGGAACTTACGTTCCGTTTCCTAGCATTTCCTCTGTAAAGTCCCACCGAGGATCAGCCGCCAGTATTTGTGCTGTAGATATTCATCCGTAAAATATGTCGGAATTACTTAGCATCGCCGGCAACTCACGAACGTATTTTGCTTTGCGTTCACTCGGCCAATCCAGCGCACACTTTAGCACAGCAGGAAAATCTGCGGAAAATGTTAGCCGCTTATCACGTCGAGGGAAACTTTAGAATATTGTTCCGATGAATGCATCGCTTTCATATGTTGTTTTGCACTCCGAGCTTTGTTATAACACTTTTTTCTTCTGATCGCTCTGAAATTTCCGAGTTTTAATACGCAAGCCGCTTGTTAAAACTTCATCCGTTTCGTGTAGGAACTAACGTAACGTAGTCTGTATATACTGTATAGGGTGCATGGTATCTACCTCGTATATATACATACGTCTTGCGTATCTACAGGATGTGTCGTATCTGCTTCGCATGGGCTAGTGATTAACAGGATTTATCGTATTTGTATCATGATGGGCTGGTGTATCGACAGGATGTATCGTATCTGAATCCTGCAGGTCATGCGTATATCGTATTATATAATATCCTGTATTTAATTTAAGTACATGTAGTGCAAACATAATGAATGTGAATTGAGTGCTATTTCATTCAGTGAAATCTAAGCCGTTTGTTCTTTGCTCGAAACAAGTAGTGATTTATACAAAAATTCTGCTTTATTATTTGTTTCGCTCATTAAACAATTGGAAGCAAATGAGTTAGGCAGGTGATCTCTCATGCTATTTTAGTTTCTAACTGGATTGTTTCATTCGAAGATTAAACATTTTCTGACAATTAACTCACAGATTTACAAAGTCATTTCATTCATCACGTGTAATTCGAGAATATGAAACTTGTTCAGCATTATGTTTAAAATGTAATTAAAAATTACGATATTGAAAAAATGTCTTATAAATTTGTCCTTTATGAAATGAATCTTTCATGAAGTTGCCAAGTAAAACAAGTCAAAAATTTCATAGAATTATTTAAGTAATGGAAAGTCTTTCGCTGCATGATGATCGTTTACAACTTTACATTTTTCATCAACATAATTTGAATTTTTGAAGACATCTGAATATTTCTGTTCCTGAAGGTCAGTGAAGATGATCAATAAAATGATGTTGATAAACGAGCGCGCCCTGGCTTTGAGGGATGGAGTTTCGAGGTCAATTAACAAGTTTCAAGAGCAAACTGCAACGTTGAAACACTCGATCGGAACGAACGTTGACATTGATGGCAGGTCCATCAATATACCATCAATATACCACCAATGTACCACCAGTGTATCACCAGTGTACCACCAGTGTACCACCAGTGTACCACCAGTGTACCACCAGTGTACCACCAGTGTACCACCAATGTACTGCCATGCGTGTCGCTCGTCTAAGTTTTCTGGGAAATTAAAATCGAATTCACTTCACATATTTTAGCGCAATAATTAACTAAAAATATCGATCACGCGATATGCGACTGAATTTTATAGCCGAATCTTGAAATCATTAAGCAAGTTTTTCGGAATGACTGATGCTTGAAAATTTTTCCAGTTTTTCCCTAGTAGAACCAAGTATTTGATTTTGATTTAAGAGCTAAAGTCCGGTAATCTAATTATTAAATCCAGCTCGTCTGCTTTATTTTATTGATCCTATTGATAAATACCCATAAAACTTTCGAATCATCTGTACCAATTGGCGTTCGAAACAAAATGCAACTGTAACGGAAAAATACATATCGCGCGCTGGATGTACAGGAATGGTTGGTGCGACTCAACGAGCGTATGAGCGAAAAATCATGTATGATGATAAACGAGATGATGATAAACGAAAAATCATGTATGATGATAAAATTGACATTCGAAACAAAATGCAAATTGAAATACAACGGTAACGGAAAAAATACATGTCGCGCGCTGGATGTACAGGAATGGTTGGTGCGGCTCAGCGAGCGTATGAGCGATAAATCATGTATATCAATTGACATTCGAAACAAAATTTAAATTCAAATGCAACGGTAACGGAAAAAATACATATCGCGCGCTGAATGTACAGGAATGGTTGGTGCAGCTCAGCGAGCGTATGAGCGAAAAATCATGTAAGATGATAAGCGAGATGATGATAAACGAAAAATCATGTATGATGATAAACGAGATGATGATAAACGAAAAATCATGTATGATGATAAAATTGACATTCGAAACAAAATTCAAATGCAACGGTAACGGAAAAATACATATCGCGCGCTGGATGTACAGGAATGGTTGGTGCGACTCAGCGTGCGTATGAGCGAAAAATCAATGGCAGGGCACGTGACGCGGCCGCTGCCATCTGGCCCTGGCTTGCCACGGTCGATACGGCGATCGAATCGCAGCGCCCAACACCCGACGACGGCCCTGCAGCTATTGCCTCCAGAATAATGCCACGGTTATTTGATGTCAGGATCATGTGTGAATATATATAGTGTGTTATTAAGTGTTGGGCAACGGCAACGGGTGTATATATACTGCGTTATTGAACACCAGGGCATACATAAATGTGACACTTCTTATTAGCGACTGGGCTCTAGATATTATTCATGAATCTGCTAAGCTATACTCTGAAAAAATTTCTTGATAAACATGACACTTTTTTTGATCAAATTTGTCGAAATGAAGGGCTCTAATCTAAATGTACGAATATGTATTGATTATAACCGATCAATGCGTACCAAACTCTGTGACATATATACCAAGTTTATCAGCGCGACATTTTCAATCGTAAACAATTCTATTTTTCTCTGTTTACCAAATTATTTATACAGCATTATACTACTATATATACACTTATTTTCGCCGTATTTTGTTTATTATGCAAAAGTCTAAAATTTAAGATGATTGGAAAGTTTTTGGCTGTATTATTGTCGACTTATTTGGCTCATTAAATAGCCCGTTTATCGAGCTTTAATTTTCGAACAACATTTTCATAATAATAATGCTCTATAACAGCGTTTATCTCTTCAAATTACTGGGTAAAAAACAGTTCAAGCTTCAATTGTTGGAATTCTGAACATCTATCCCATACACGTATTTGCTGCGTACAATGCATATATGAAACTTGGATTCCTACGATTTTTTGAAAAAATATGCGGTTCTCTAAAGTTTTTATATCGTTGAAGTCGCGTTGTATTGTTTGAGCTAGCTCAAAAACTTAGATGAGGTTATAAAAGAAAGAGGTCACGAAGAATTGATTAATATGATGCATCGATTTAATTTGCATGGTCCATTCTTCATCACAAATTGTCGCAACGATCGATACGTAGAATATCGATGCTCGATCACGATGGTCACACAACAGTGCAGTCACGCATGGTCTATCGTTATTATAGCCGCATGCATGATCGATCTGTACATATATATAACCAAGCATGTATGATCGTTTGATGCATAGTCGTGCATGGTCGATCAATATAAACATGGTCGACCATGGCCATGCATGGTCGACCGATACATATATAGCCATGCATGGTCGATCAATATATTCATATAGTCATACATGATCGATCGATACATAGCCATGCATGGTCGATCAATATATTCATATAGTCATACATGGTCGATCGATACATAGCCATGAATGGTCGATCAATATATTCATACTCATACATGGTCGTCTGTTGCGCTGCCACGCGCGGTACAGCGCTATGTACCGGGATGCAGAGCAGCTGTGCCTCTCCTGCAAATATCGATACATCATAAGGATGAAAGGATCGTTAGAGCCGTTAGTGCAGTTCACGTGAGATCGTTAGAGCCGTTAGTGCAGTTCACGTGAGATCGTTAGAGCCGTTAGTGCAGTTCACGAAAGCTGTCTTCCAAGATGTTCACGAATACGTTACTGTTTTCATTCGTAAACGTTCTATAGT